AGGCAGCAGCAAATAGATTTACACTGGGCTCTGTCCTCCTCCCTGTCAGGGAGAAATGCAACATTTCCAGAAAGGGCTCCAAGTCCTCTGGGGACTCTGATTTATGAAGATTTACTCTCTTTCCCTCTGTAAAGCTGTTAGCAGAAAGTGCTGACTGGCTGCAGCCAAGAATTTCTCATCAATGCTCTTTGATTGTATTTTGCAAACAAAATGCCTGTTGCTTGGTAACATTTCACTTGAGCCTGACCTTCTCTGAAAGTTATTGCTATCAGATTCGATTTACACTGTCCTCCTATGATTACTGTAATCTTTTAAACCCAGGAGTTCATCCATCAGAAATAAAGAAAAGCTGGTTGTGTAAGTGGAGAGTGCGGCTGTCCACATTTGTAACCGGAGGGGGTGTGCTAAGGGGTGATTCTCTCCCGAGGGCAGTGGACTCTGGTTTCTAGACATCGAGACTCTGATTTTCCGCCACCCATTGCCTGCAGCTCCACAAGATGGACACCAGCCTCCCCACTGTCCCTCCTGTAGGCCCTGGCCCTGCAGATAGACTGGTGGCCCAGTACGCAGAGTGGCCAGACAGAGCAACAGGACCCCAGCTAAATTTGGACTTCAGATGAATCATGAAGGATTTTTACTGCATGTTCCACGCAATGCTCACCATCTTCTCTTTCTGGTTATTTGCAGGGTCTTTGCTGATTTGGCAATTCACTTCCTCCAAACTCCTAGCTTTGAAAGGATTGGGAGGGAGAAGCCAGAGACAGCAAGCAGGGTGAGTTCTGGCTGACAGGAGCCGACAGGCCGGTGGTAGGCAGCGCTGGTCCCCGACAGACAACCCAGGCAGAGCAGGACAGCGACAGTCCCTGAGGCCTCACCTCAGAGCCCAGCCCCACTGGCCTCTCACCTCTCTGGAGCCCAAGCACTCCTGGAGGGAGAGGAGAGCTGGCTGTTCCCATCCTACCTCACCCCACCTCCCAGCAAAGCAGTGGTAGCCACCTCGCTTCTACAAGCAAGGCCAGGGCTTCTACTAGTACCAAGCCAGCTCCAGTTATGCTTTGAAGTAGACAGCAGTATCACCACTTATTCCTTTTTATCTTGTTGGTTTTGTTTTTTAAGGCCTTACCTCAAGTTAAATGATCTTAAAACCAGAGCTAGTTTTTCTATCCATAGGTGTATTTCATAGACAGTTTTTCTTTCTTTCCTGCTTCTTCCTTCCTCCTGGCCTGCAGGCAGAGAGGGTTTTCCTTCCTAGCCTGGATGAGTACTCCTGTAATATTTCTTATACTTGAACATGTTTTTCTTTCAAAAAATAAATAAAAGTAAAATTCAAAATAAGAGGGAAATGGGCCGGGGAGATGGCTCAGTGGAATAAGTGCTTCCCTGGCAAGTGCAAGGGCCTGAGTTCAATCCCAGGTTCCGCCAAAAACAAACAAACAAACAAAAACAAAATAAGGGGGAAAACTCAGTCAAGCTGGAGCTGTAAATCCTAGAGCAAGCGTGATGATTCTGGGAGTTGAGAGGCAGAGGTTAAAATAAAGGCAGATTTACAAGACCTCCTAACTGCTTTCTTCTAGTTAGTTACTCTGTAGTTCCTTTCAGAAGAAATAAACCCGAAAGGAGATTCTACCTTCTTATTTAATCCTGCTCTTCTTCTATTCCTAACCAAATGTTTTCAAATTCATTTTCCCATAAGAACACTGAAATTTGTATGCATATTTATTTTGATAGCAGATCTAGATCTGGGAAAAATCAGCAGTCACCGATCTCTTCTCTCCAGGTATCTGACACCCAGTACACTCTCCGAGAGGCAAAGTCCAGGCAGGGAAGCCAGTACAGTGCAGGGATGTGACTGCAGCGTCTCACCTTGGCCGTGACCCTAAGATTCCCTCAACTCCGGAGCCCACAGTTCTGAGCGGCTGGCATGGCTGGCTGAGACTGCTGATTCAGGGACACTAACTGCTGAAAGACGTCCTGCTTGCTGGGACAGCTTCTTGGGGGAGGGGTGAGGGCAGACGTAAAAGGGAATTCAGAATAAACGAATTCCATAGTACGAATTAAGAAGCTTAAGTCAGAATTTGTCTTCAATCAAAATCTAATTAATTCTGGGCCTGTCATAGATGGTAAACAAATAGTAGGAGAAATCTCTACTCAGAAAGAATACAGTCACCAAGGAAATGGGGAAATTCCCCCAAAAGCCACAATGCATCTTCCACCATTAGATAAAATCATCCCCATTCCTGTAAAGAATCTGAGGCAGAATTTGGAAAGATTTCTTTTGCTGTCAAAACTTTGTTTTGGCATTAATGTGCCCTGAACCTGGTGGTATTTCTCTAAGGGGATGAGCAAAGGTACTCTTCCCTAAGGCATGGGCTTTGTTCAAAGACTTCTGCAGAAGAAAAAGACTCCATGAGCTGGTGCACTTGCCTTTGGATCCAAGGAAAACTATCTCTGCACAGCTAGCCCTAAAGTGGTCCCTGTGCCTACAGAGACAGAGCTACATTTGAGAATCAAAGTTCACAGAGTAGATCTACATGATTTGCTGTTGAATATTTAGACGCCTGAGAGTGTGAGTATTGATTATACACGCAGACCTACCATCCATATAGAGCTTAGCTCAGTGCTTATATGGAGTGAAATACTTCCCCAGGAGTATCAGATACGCTTCTAAATATGCATGGTATGTTACAAACACATTATAAAACGGTGCCAAAATGGGTCTCACATGCAGCAAGTCTCAACCAAAGGTTTCCTCTAAACGCCAAGTAGACTTTCTCTTTCTGTGTTCTACATGGAACAGGTCCTCTTGCTTGCTCGTATTCCTAGTGGAAAATGAAACTTGCTCTTTTCTAGTCCCAGCCTCATCTGATCAGGGACTGGCTTTTTTTTTTTTTTCCAACATGGACTTATATGTCCAAACCAACTAAAAGGTGAAAATACCAGTTGTGTCATTTAACTTATAAGGCATACGGAGTGACTGGCTGGGAACTGAGCCCTCCGTTGCTGACAGTGCAGTCCCCTGAAGTCATCACTCTGACCGCTGCTTGCAAATCACTTGCTTTCAATTTTGAGAGCTAACATGATCCCTGGATGCTTGGGGAGAGGAAGAAAGCACCAGGTCGGATTTGTCCCATTTGTCCCACTGAAATCCTTTGCCCTTTTTTTTATTCTCCCCAAGCTGTGTCCTAAGGCTCCGCTGTTTTCCTGCCATCCTCATTCCTCCCCCTTCCAGAGTAGCTGTGGGTTTTGTGACCAGCCCAAAAATCAGAAGGGCACAGGAGGGAAAGGAATTGTGTCTCGAACAAGAGCCATGAAACACACAGAATGCCTTATCGCAGTAAGCCGCTGGGACAGGTGGCCAATGAAAAATGCTACCTCTCCTATTAACTCAGACTCCTGCTCCAGTCCTAGGGGAACAGGGTCAGGAAACTGGAAACAGAAAAATTAACACTTTATCATGGAATCACTGCTACAGTGGATCTGCTGGTTATCTGTTCTTTCCTAAAGGGAATGTGACAAAACAACTCAAAATGAAACAAAACAAAAACCTCTCTTTGACCCTCTCTAGTACTCTAGGCAAATCCATAAATGTAAGAAGTTCAGAGACAAAGAGAGACAACTATGGAGAAAGCCTCAGAAAAACACATCTCTGTTCACTTGGATTAAATACTCACTGAATCTATGTCCAGCAAACTCTCTCCTTAAGGCCCCCAGTCCCGACCTCACATAAGCTATTCTCAGCACCTCAGGCCTGAGTAAGGGGCAAGGAACGGACCCTCTTAGGTCACCCCTCAAGTCACTACAAAGCCCACGGTGCAGATACCCCCAGCCCCACGAAGCAGTCCAGTGGTTCTCAAAGCCTCTCTCCAGAAGCCAGGGGACTGTTCTTGAGGGTGAAGAGGTGTAGTAGCTGCTCTACCCTCAGCTGTACTCAAAGTAAGGCACGGGGCCTTTCTTTTCTAATTCCAGCACACCCCTTCTTCTGAGAAGACCATTTTTTTTCTCCTTTTGTACATTTGCCCGAGTCTAAGGGAGACACCAAACTCAAGTCCACCTAATTCCAGGCGCCCTGGCTGGTTGGACAGGATGAGGACCAAAACTAGAGCTTTCCCAGGAGGAAGCAGACTGAGAGGTTATGCCTAGACCAGGAAGCGGGATGGCAAGGGTGGGGTTAGGATTAGAGTTAGGGCTCCTCAAACAGATCTATTTTCCCTAAAACGCTACAGAAGATGAGAAGGGAACAGAGGGAAAAAAGCCAAGAAAGTTGCAAGGGAGGGACTTTAGTGGGCTAGGGCCCAAACCTACCTACAACCAGGGAAAAGGCTTTCCTGAAGTAGCTTTCCTCACGGTCGGGTCTAGTCTTGCTTTTATTTCTTGAAACCACAGCAGCTGAGCAGTGGGTGTTAAAGTACCTGAACATTTCTGCAAAAAGAGTTGACTCCACACAAGGCAAAGGAACCTTTCGGGGCCTTTTTACTACTCTGCTATCGGTCCTAAAGGAGGTTCTTTCACCAAACTGCAAGGGACCAGTTTGAGAACGCAGTTAAAAGGGCCACGGGAGATGGGAGATAACTTGTCCTCTTTGCAGTCCCCCGGCCACGCGAAGCGAGTCCTGTCTCCGTCAGCCAAGCCTTGGATCACGGCTCCTGGAGCGACTCTGAGGCCTCTAACAGTCGGTGCCAGAAAAACCTTGGCCGGTAGCGGTGCCTGTGTGTGCGCGTTTAAAAGTGGTCTCCTCCGGACCTCTTTTTCCTAAGGAATTTAACACGCTCCCTTTAACCGGGGGAAGCCCCCTCCGAGTCCCAGCTCGGAGTCCCGCCTTTTGGGTCTCCTTTCCCGGGATCCAGATTCTAGGCTGACTTCTCCCAGAGAGCAAGCACCAATCCGGTGGGTCGCGAAGGTAGGCCCGGCCAGGGTGACTCCCCAGAAGAGCCACCGCAGGCGCCCGGACGTTCCCAAGCTCCCGACGACGCCCGCACCCACCGAACTCGCACGGTCCTCACCTGGCTTGGCGAGCTGCGACTGCAGCGTCCCCGGCTGGGGCTCGGAGGCCCAGCGCAGGGCGGCGGCCGCGGCCAACTCGGCGGCGGGGCGCGGTGGCGGTTGAGCGGGCTGCGAGGCCGGCGGAGGCTGCGGGCCGGCGGCGGAGTCCCCAGGCTGCGGGGGCCCCGGCAGAGCGCGCAGCGAGTCCGGGATGAGGCTCTCCAGGCTCTCGTTGGCCTGCTGCCGGCGCAGCGCCACCTGCGCCGCCATGACCCGCTGCCGCTCGATGATGAGGATGCACTTCTCGCAGGTGCAGTCCTTGAAGCGGCAGTAGCGCTTGTGGCCCTTGAGCCAGGACAGCACGCCGTGGTTGCGGCAGCGCGCGCACTTGGGCGTACGCTGCAGAGGCGCCCGCGGCGGTTGCGATACCGGGCCGCCCATATAGAGGTAGGGGGAGCCGTAGCCGTTCATGCCCAGGGCTCTGGGAAGAGTTGGCGGGCTGGCGGTGGAGCGAGGCCAACGGGCGCTGGAGTCCGGCGCTGGCGGCCCGCTCGGGAGGCGGCCTCCAGGCGGCGGGGCCCGGGGTCCCGCAGCCCCGGCGGCTGGGAGCGTTCCGGTGCGGCGGGCGGGGCAGCTGCAGTCTCCCCAGCTCCCGTAGAGCGCCCAGCCTCGGCCCCCCGCTTCGTGCCCCGCCAGTCCTCAGGCGGGCCCGGCCGCGGGTCGCGGCTGCTTTGGGCGCAGGACCACGCCGGCTCCTCGCCCTCCGCCCAGGTGCTGGCGGCCGCGGCGAGGACCGGAGCTCTGGCTAAGGTCTGAGCCAACTGTCTGCAGCGCCTCTGCTCGCCGGCCGGGCCCAGCGCCTCCTCCGCCGCCCTCCCCCGGCCCCTCCTCCCCTCCACCGCTACCCCCACCCCTGGGGTCCTTGTGTCCTGTACTCCCCACCCAACTCCTTCCTCCTTCTTTGCACCCCTGGGGTCCCTGCACTTCACCTTCCCCGCCGCCTGCAGCCCGGCCACTCTAGCGGGGGCGCTCACGGGCCCCCTCCTCCCAGCCCTCCGCGCGACCCTTCCCGCGGCGGGAGCAACTGCAAGCTTTCGGAACCGAACGCGGTGGGGCGCGCAGGGCGGGACCCGAGGGTTGCGAGAGCGAGGGTGGGGTGCCCCTGCGCGTTCTTCTGTTCCTTTCAGGCCTGATCTGGACGCAGGGTGCTTTCGGCCTCTTTTATCCCGACTCTTGGCGGCAGAAACTCGGCTCCGTGCAGAGCTGCGTGGCGCTGCAGACGCACCCCAGACCTGGAGCTGGCCATGGGCTTTCGAGTTGAGGTTCGTCAGCCCCAGGGCCAGTGGCAGGAGAAGTTAGGAGTAGAGAGGCGAAACGGACTCGGGAAAATTAGGCTTTTTCTTTATCTTCCTTTTGTAACCCATTTTTCCCCTCTTTCATAGCTACAGAAGAAAACGAATGTTTAAAAAAATTCTGGCTAAGGATGACAACCCACTTTGCAGGTTAATTTCTTCCTCCGACTTCCCTGTTTTAAGATGAAAAAGGTCTCTGCCTTGAAAGACCCAAGGATAGCTCTGGTGGATGTTTTGCTTAGACGCTAAGTGATTAGACAGGGGACCAGAACAGGTTAGCTGCCCAAAAGTTACCTGACAGGATCTCCCCGTTCACAAGAACACTGAATTGTCAAATGTAGGTTTCCTGTTATCAAATGCAAATCCCTACAGATCCTGTGACTTAGGTAAGGAGACTAGATCGGGTTAACCCCCACAGACCCCATTCACCCATGAACATCTTTGGGTGAGGATGAGATGGCCCCCGCCCAAAACAGCAGCATGAAACTTTGTTTAAACTGGTATTTGTGTGGATTACTGTTGGGCCTTCTGCAGGCTATTACTATGCACCCCTAGGAACTGCTGAAGTCCCCTTTCAACAAACAAAAATGGTGGCTGCGGCAGGGCGGCAGGCGGGCATGGGCACCGTGCAAAGGGGTGAGATGGCGGTCCTGGGGACATTCGCTGAGCTCACCCCTGGCCACCTGAACAAACCTAATGCTAGAGCAGAACACAGGTGTCCACTGCAAGGCCAGGCCCCCGGGGCAGCACGCAATCCCAGTCTCTCTGTGTGGCTTGGCCAGGCTGCTTTTTTTTCTACGCTGCCCAGACAACAACCTGGAAATGTCCCTGTAAGTTGCTTTAAATTCAGGCAAAGCACTAGGCGTTCAGCAGTCAAGCCTCTGCCCAGAAGGAGGTTTAAAAGGGAATCCTGTCCTCTGCATTCCCCTTGAACTCCAAGCCCCAGGATTTCAAACCCATCAGGGAGTTGGAGAAGAGAGGCTGACCTGGTTGAGTGCAGGGGGTAAGACTTGCACAGGAGGGCTAACTCTAGGAGAACATTCCGAGGCCTTAAGGAGCAGGGACCTGTGGCCTCGCTCCTTCCCCCCTCTCCTAATCCCCTTTCTCTTACTCTTCCCTAGGGAAAGAAGTCTTAAAATCTACAACTGGAAGGAAGTCTGTGGCTCTCTGTTCATGAGGGAGAGGTCACTCAAGGCCGGTGAGCCAAAGCCAGGGAAGTGCGGCTGTGACATTGAATCACTTCAGGTTAAGGAGACCCGAGGGCCTCGCATGGCCCCGGATCTAGGAACTTTTGTACCGAATTATCTGGGTTTCTTGGAAAATAGAAGCAAGAACTTTTCCAAACCCAGATTTCTCCCGATTTTCTCCAAATCATCAAGACACATATAAGAAAAAATGAGAATAATTTTTACAAAGGAGAACAGCAGAGCTCTGTACCACGTCTGTGGGCATGTTTCACTCCTGGGGAGCCCCTTTTTCCCCCTCGGTCACCTAGCCACCTTGCCCTGATGCCACTCAAAGAGTCTAGTATTATTTGGTCCCGGACCGTTTCACTCCAGTGCACATTGGGGGCTGAGATCTAAATACTCATTTGATATAGCGCCATAATCCTTTTCTCATATTTGATGGGAATGTTTTCCATATCCCAGTATTTGACAACATCTCCCTATAGGGACAGGTTTGTATTTATGTTGGTAAAATGTCCCCTGCCTCAAAGTCTATTGTAACCCAACACCTGACAACCCCGAGTCCCATTTCTGTTTGCAGAAAGGGTTTATTCAAGCACATAATGGGATCCCAGCAGAAAGCCTTTCAGAACAAGGGGCTATGGTAAACTTCACCACATGAACTCCGTTTCCAGGGCTATTAAGCTTTTAATTGGAAAATAGCAGAGGAAATTTCAAGGTGACTATAACGTGTTAGCAGTTAGTGCAGAGAAGAAAAGCCCGTGAGGGAATGAATGTAGAAAGCATATGGTCCGAATCACATTTAGGAGGAGCGGCCGGCTTCTAAGTCCCTGCAGCTTATACACGTATGGGAAAAATCATCAAAGAAATTGGAAGGGAGGAGGGAGGATTACAAGTAAACGTAACCTCGCTGGACTAGAAGCACTAGTATTCTCTGGGTGGTGGTGTTTGTGTTTTCAAACCACAACTAGGTAGAATTGTGGCAAGTTTTAAAAGTGAAAGGGCAAAAAGTATGCTGGTCTTTCTTGTCTGGCACACAACCACACCGTGTGTATGCATCTGAACTGGGAATGCAGGTGTTGTTGCTAAGAAAGGACTTCAGGCTCCAAACGTGGGAGTCCTGCTCCTCGCCCCCAAGCAATGCTTAATCAAAAGGACAGTTGCATATTGTCCCGGATGTATGACCCATCAAAAAATGCTCTGCAGGGGCTAGGCAGATGGCTCAGTGGAATAAGCACTTCCCTGGCAAGCGCAAGGGCCTGAGTTCAATCCCCGGTTCCGCAAAACAAAAAAAAAATGCTCTGCTTTGCTGGATTCTCCTGCAAGGGGCAGGTCTGGGTTCCTACTTTGCTGTTTATATGGAGACAGCAGTGGTGTTGGTATGAGCAGACACTGCAGACCAGGCTTGCAGGATCCTCCTTTCAGGCGCAAGAAAGTGTCCCCTTCTCCTTGCTTGAGAACTCCATACACTACTCAGCTTTCACCCAGTGAGTGCCTCTGGATATTACTGTTTGATCAGCTTCAAATTGAAAGAAGGTGATGGTGGGGATAACATCCAGCCAGGCAATTTGCAATGGGGTGACAATAAACTGATTTCTTCAAATCCGCAGTCCTGTCCTTTTTCTCCCTTGACTAGGGAGACCCTGGAGCCCCATCCCCGCGGGGGGGGGGCATTATGGGGCTCGAGGTAGAGGGCAATTTACTTCAGGGCCCAAGGTCCTGGACATCAAGTTCCCACGAGAATTTGGAAGAGAAGGAAAATGTTAGTGGGGAACCTGGTCCAGCCGTTTGGGAGCCAAGGGGCTAGATAACCACTGTAGCCCAGCTAACCCCTTGCAGCGCTGTTGGGCCCCTCACCTTCTGGAACTCTCCAAGCAGCAGCCTAGTCCCTACCAAGGCTTGCTGACTCCGCTCCCCACGAGGGTGGGCGCTTCCGGTCCACCATCCGGAGTGGGGGTTGGGCCTGTGCTCTACCAGGGGCCACTAAGAGGACCTTAACCTCGAGTCCTCGTGCGACTTTAAAGAGAAAATAATTTTGGCTAATGTCGGCTTATTCAGGGAATAAGCAAAGAAAGCCTGCCAAGCTCCCTACTGTCGAAGCCTCTGCTCAGAGCACAGGTGCACGCCCCAGGCCCAGCCACTTTCCAGAAATTTCTCCCGCCACCTCCACCCCTGCATTTCAACAAAAAGCTGCAAAGGAAGTGCACAAGCGTGGGAAGGAAACCCGTTCTGTTCTAAGAGCCTGTGAATAATGATGGAAACGACCGCATGCCAGCCCGCACGCCAGGAGGAGTGCGTGAGGTGAGCACTCGAGGCCCAGGCCAACTCAGGCAGGAAAGCTAGGCCCCTGGCCCAGGGTGGGAGCCCTGGGGGCGGGGCCACTTCCGGATTTGACGGTCACGCCCCCTGCCCCGCCCACCTCCTCGGCCACGCCCACCTGCGTCCAGCCACTGCCGCAGTGGTGAGCAGTGCTAAAGTTTTCGAGTGGGAAAGAGAGGGAGGAACTTCCGCCAGTGTCCCTTAAAAGGCCGAAGCGCGCTTTTTGTGCGGGGCGTCTTTGAAAGGCGCGACTCTTGAGCTCCGAAGGCACAGGGCACAGCCGTACAGCGTGTCCCAGGCCTGCTCCGCGAGTGCAAGGCGGGCCCAAGTCCAAGGCTTCATGCCGGCCTGGGGGGCACTCTTCCGGGACCGACTCCAACGGGTCTGTGGATGGGGAGCCCGGGGCGTGGCCCGCGCCTTGTACAGGGTGCTTGTCGGCACTGCAGTTTCCCGCAGCAGCGGGGACGCCACTGTCCTGTGCGAGCGGTGTCAGGTCCACACCGCCGCCCCGGGTCGCGGTCTTCGTGCGCGGGCAGCGACGGTGCCCCCAGCTGCTGCCCTGGGCCCCGATTTTGCGTCTGCAAGACACAGGGGGGGGGGGGTGAGCGCCGGAGGCTCCGCGAGCCTCTCTGCTGGGACCCGGAAGGCGTCGCCCCCGTCCCCAGCCTCCGCGAAGCCTGAGGCGTTCGTGGGGAGGCGCGCGTGCTGTGCCCAACCTCCCTTCGCATGGCCGGGCGTTAGAGGACGCAGGCGAGCCGAACGCATCGCCCCGCGCCAGAGCACGGGTCACCTGCGAGGCTCGGGAGGGCCCGTGGGCACGGCCACGCTTGAACACGTTCTGCACACTCGTAAACTGCACGCGCGGCCCATCCCGCCCGCGGGATTAGGTGAACCTGCTTGTTAGGCCAGAGCCTTACGGAACAGGGTGCCCCATCAAAAAAAAAAATGTTCTTTAAATGACAACTAAAATCCCGACTTTGAAATCTGTCCGTGCTGTGTCCTGAAAGAGCAGATCACAAAGCAGGCCTCTGGACCAGGCCTGGGGCTGCCCAGCTCCTTCCTCCTGGCACTAGAGGATGAAGTCGCAAGTGGAAACCTGCTGCCACCCCACCCAGTGCAGGTGGAACGCCCGAGCGGCCTCAGGATCTCTTGCCGCCCACTCGTGCTCCACCAGCTGGCAGAGGCCCTTCAGAAGCACACAAACCCATAGGTGTGCCCACGCAGCCGCTGTCATGTAACTGAACCCGGTGCCCGATGCTGCCTACCCCGACAAACCCTCGACCCAGAGCAGGAGCCCCCCACCCTACCGACTGAAGCCGAGCTTGGTGCTCGGTAGATTGGGGACTGGGGCGCGGGCGCACTCATCTGGGCCCTGCCTCGCCAGCTAGAAACTAAGGCCGGGGGCGCTGATGGCACCGGGCTGCTCAGACACCTACACTTTTTCCGGCGCCTCTGCAGAAGGGTGGAAGGTGTAGGACTCTGGGATCCGTAGAAGCCAGCACTACTGCAAGGGACCCGAGTGTCTAGTGAGCGAAGAACTCGAGTCTCCAAGATCCAGAGCTGTAACCCCTCAGGAGGTGGCAGCTCCGAGGCCTGTTCTTCCTTCCCCAGCGCCTGCCCCGCAGCCTCCCGGTGTCGCCCATCACAATAGCTACAGCTACAGCCTCCGAAGGGCACAGCGCTGCAGTAGCAGCAGCCTGACAAGTGTGATAAAATGATCTTCCTTAACTAAACTCGTAAAGCACTGGGCAATAAAACTCAATCTTCTGTAAAATCCAATTAAGTCATTATCTGACTGATTGTATCTTTAATTGAAAACAGAAGTGACAGTAAATTTCTGTGATATATCAGGATCAATCGATACCACTATACGATTCAGCCCCAGAAGTGATTTATAATGTCAAACCTATATAGGTAACTCCACATTATTCTCTCTAAAACCACTGGTGGATGAAATTAAGAGTAAGTGCATTTAATAAAAAACAAGATGGTCAGGTTATTGATTACAACAGATGGGGGTGAAATCAAATAGATGTTTTCAAAGCACAGAGCGAAGAAAATACAAGTAATTTCTTTTTTTCCTGTTTAATACCGCTCAGCAAATATACACACAAGAAAATTCAGTCATCAATAACGTTTTTATTTCAGGTAGAGCTGCAACTACACACAACAATGAATTTTTTTTAGACTAGTTTCATTTCAGGATGGCTTCCGTTACATAAGTACTCCATAAGCAATTTTTTAACAAAATAATGAACTCAGAAATCTGTACAGTAGTAACTTTTTAAAGATGTACTTATTTCCAAATCAGATTACAACCTAAGGTTACAAAATGGTTTAGATTGCATCCATTTTTTTTTCCTGTACTAGGCTATGTTCAACTCATTCTAGAAACAACACTTAGGAGCTACGCCTGACTGGGGTTAAACCAAAATTATACTGCTTTCAAATTATCTCTTATAAAAACAAACAAACAAACAAACAAAAAACCTAGCAAGTCTAAAGGGCTTTAATCCCCTCCCCCAGCACTGTTTCACCTGTTCAGGTTTTGGGGCACAGCAACACAAATACACAGTATTTCCATTTATCCCGACTTTCTGCAGATTTCTAAAATAATCAGTAATTGTGCTTGCTCTTCTCACTGGTCAAGTGTAGAACTTGACTAAATTTATATTTTTGTAGCTTAAAATATTTAAATTTTTAAAAACCTAAGGCACCTAAGATTTCATCTTAAAACTAAGAAAGTCATGTCTAATTGTGACTAATTTAGACAAATAGCTCTGGCTTTGAGTAAATTACTGTATTTCTGAATGCTACATTTGAACCAGTGACATTAAAAAAAAAAAAAAAAAAAACAAGCACTAGAATTTAAACTCTGTGAGCAAAGCACTTCATTCTTGCAGCAGATGGTGGTCAAACCCCTTTATTACAAGTGTCTTAACCTCTGACCTAAACTCTTAAGGAATATACAAACCAAACAGGTTCTCAACAGTTAAGTCGATACAGAAGAACCACCAACCCCGTGGCAGTGGAATACGCCTGGTATTCCACGCGAACCGGCAGCTGCCACACTGCTCATCACTCTGCCTCTTCGACTACGGGAGAGACCGCGTAGCTGGCGGACTCCGACGCAGCCTCACACTCGAGCACCCCCTTTGTGCTCTCATTACTTATAGGAGAGCTGCTGGACAGGGAAACCAAGCCAGAATCTTGACTGCTGGGCGGCGAGAAAACTGGGAAGTGAGAGAGAGAAAGAGAAAACAAGTATGTTAAAAATGGCTAGTCTCTCTACATTCAGTATTCAATTAGATTCCAACAAAGAGGCACTCTCCATTTGTATTCTAAACTGCAAGTGTTTTCATTGACCCTCATTAAAATCCTCAGTGTTTCTTTAGAATAATAATTTTAAAAATCACATATTACACAGGAGTACTTCTAGCTGCAGGAAAAAGTTAGGTGGCAAGAGTTCCAGTTTATGTCCAGTAAATTAAACACAAAATACACTCTTTGGGGAACTTGCTTCCATTACTCTGAGTCCCCTTTACTTTAGGTTAAGTATACTAAGAAACCTTGTCTGGTCAAGTCATCTGAGAAGTTACCCCAAGCAGTACTCCATCCATGTATTTCCACCACTGGACAGGCAAGAGCCAGCAGGTGAAGCTGACGGCACATCAACTTTCCTATTACTTGTCTTAGGTATAACCACAAACAAGCATGGTGAGGTGTGTGTGGCAACGATCTGAACTTTTAAAAAGGAAGGAGCAGTGAATAGCTGAGCAAAATTTTAATTGATAAAGTAAAATAAAGCCAATGTATTACACTAAAATAGAAATAGGTAAGTTAATGATTTTGAAAACAAGCCTATGAACATACCTGGAAACCTACCTTAAATATGAAGGATGGAAAAGTAATACTATGTTGAACACTTTTGCAACCTTACAAGCCACAGTAGATACAAAATTTAAGCAAAGGGGTCTCTGACCTTCTTAACCTTAGTAGAGTTTAGAGCCACCCCCAGAACTCCCTTCCTGCCCAGTGCGAATGTAATTAAGGGGAAGCTGCAGTGGTAATTTCTCTCCTCATTAACTTCCTGATTGGTTTCAGCCTCAGGATTCTGCTGGGCAGTAGTTTGTCACCAATTCCAAATGGCCAATCGTTAATACTAATGTTTGTGTAACTAACTGCCAGCATCTGCCACGGCTTCTTGTACAACAATAATGGTGAAAGGGTACATTAGTGCTCCTGTGTTAATTCTGCTTGTGTTCATCAACAGGCAAATCTATGATGTAATTAGCAAAATGCATTGCAAGCTGAGTACCGAAGTCATTTGTAGAGAACTAAATCATAGTGGAAGCCGTGCTAGGTCCTGATGTGTTTGCCATCAATACTTATTATGTTTGGAATTTAATAAGGTATATTACCATGCTGAAAAGAGACTTTTTTAAAGAGAACACTATTTACGCTTGTTATGGGTTTGGAAAAGGTTTGCTGCAGCTATTGGAAACACACAGAAAAAAGAAAACTGCCATTTAAGAAATGGACCTTTCACCATTCCACTGGACTAAATTATTTCTAAAAGCTCTTTTCCTCCAGTGTGACATATGGATAGGCAGACAGACAGATGGATAGTTTTGTATAGCCATTTCAATACCCAATGAGGAAAGGGATGATCTGAAAACTTTGTAAATGAATGAATTTGAAAAGCAATTTTTGCAATTTTCTAACAAGTAATTTCTTCTTGTATTGGAAGTATTTGTTTAGTATTTAGTAGCTTAATGTTACATAAGAGTGAGTTTATAAGCTTTACAAAGAAGAAAGGGGCTGTGAAATGGTATTCTATACACGGCAAAACACTGTATGTGGGCAGATATAAATATAGCAACTCAAAAAACTGGGAACCTGAATCTTTTACCTATGGCAGTGCCCAATAGCTTCTTAGTAAATTTGGGTGTTATATGGATTTAAATTCCCTGTATATCTCACGGTGATATATTGTTTGTACACGTACCTGCTTAGAGAAATGTATAGAGAAATGTTTTCCGGAAGTGATAGACTTAGCTCTAAGAGTTCTATGATTACACACATCTGGAGATGCCCTGAGCGCCTGCTGGAGCGTCTGTTCAGCTCATCTGCCCACCTCCACCCCAGACCTGTGGCACTTTTCTCTGTGAATGGGCCATGTGGAAGGGAATGAACATTTACTATTCCTCTGGGCACGGCATATTTTAATGAGGACTCACGGAACTCCTTTCCCTGAGTTATACAGGAGACCTTGGCCCTCTGGCACGCTCTTCTCCCTTGGGCAGCACACTTAGGGGCTCATCACAGACGGTTCCCAATTTCTCCATGAGTTTAAGGAGGCGAAATAACTGCCCCTGTCAGACTGCTGCAGCACCTAGGAGTAAATGCAGTGTTTCCTCGATGTGTTCTAGCCCTGGGCTGAGCTTGGGCTTTAGTGAGAAGTGATGGTGGAGATGCCCCCCCCCCTTCCTGAAGCCAAGCTGGGACTGAGAAGGGAAGGAGTGGGAATTGCACAAGAGCAAAGCATTCAGGAATAACCCTCTTGTGCTCTTACTTGTCTTGTAAGCATTTTCTTGGAAGGTACCTGTGTGGCTTGGGGCAACACACACATGAAGATTGTGTCACCTGCGTGGACTACAGAGCTCCATGCTTACTTGATACATGACTGCACGCCAAAGAAACGTAAAGAAATGAACCCCGTCTATTTGAAAAGTACCTTACTGGATGTTTAAAGTGCTTTTCCACTCAAAACCAAATCCACTTTATTTTTTCTGTTTGTTCAAGGCTTAGTATTGTCTTTGAAAAGCAGATTGTTGAAGTTAGGAATAGTATCTGTTTGACTTATATTGTGTGGTACCTCACGAAAGTTCCAAGTGCCTGAAGAACTTTGTGTCATTTCTCGCAGTGACTAAAGCTCAAAGTCTATTTTGCTACCATCTCCAAATATAGTTCTTCGAGGTATGCTGCCCATTTTAATGTAACTTCATTGAACTTTTTAGGGGCAACAATAATAGCTGGCCATTGTCAATTATTTTGCACAAACTAGAAATTTTAGAACGTCTTTTCTTTTTGAGGTAGGATTAGGGCTAATTTCAACTCAAGATTTGTCTCAATTATTTTGTGAAAATGCTACTAACTCCTGATGTCAGTAACACAGCCAATAGACAGATAATACAGGAATTACCACAAATTGGTTCCATCTTTCTGGACATCAATCTAGTGACACATAATAGGATCTGTAAAACTGCTCAGCCCTTACGACCTAGTAATTTCACTCTGGGGAATAAACCCAAAGAAAAAAAGAGTAATTGGCCCGGAGATGCTCAACACAGCGCCATTTGCATCAGTGAAGATGTTCCTGCTTGCTCTTGGGCTTGGAAGGAGAAAGAGGGGCGGCTGAGCTGGAGGGGTGGCAGGAAGCATTCATAGGCAATAACCAATTAAGGATTATGCTACCCCATAATCACTACTGGCCTCTAGCGTTTACTGAAATGGAAGAAATGACTACTGGAGTTCAGAGTGGAGACTGAAAAGTAAGGGAAAAGGGAAACTGTTCATCTGATCTATTTTGTGCTGCAGTGAAATGTGTATAGCAAAAGGACAGACCCTTGTCAGTGAGTCCACTACATTTTCTCTCAAGCAGCCTATCTGCTTCTAGTAGCAGGGTCTTTCTTTCATTACTAATTAAAAACAAAAGCCTTATACATGATAATCATTCTTATAATGTGGTAGGGAAAGACGACAATTTTGGTGATGCCATTTAAACATCAGTAATCTTCCTGAAAAATATTACATAGTGCAAAATAAAGAGAAAACCCCCTCTAACAAACAAAGCAAAATTACTCTATCTGCTCAATCTTTGGATGCTGCAAAGACCCCTGACTTTTACCTTCAATGATCTGTTGAAAGTCAATGGACTGGAACAAATAATTCTCTCCCAGCAATGTGAGAAAACACGATAGTCATGCTTGAGAAAAAAGTTCTACCTAATACAATTAAACTCCTCCTACGAAACTATCTAAAAATACAACACAAGTGGCGTTCTCCACTGGTTAGCAACTCTTCACCTAGCTGCTGGCTGCCAGGGCAGCTGTGAAAATCTCTCTCTCTCTCTCTCTCTCTCTCTCTCTCTCTCTCTCTCTCTCTCTGAGCCCTTAGTTTGCAAGAGGATGGCAGTCTGAAGAAGAGCTGGTGAAAATTTCTTCAACAGCCATTTCTTCCACTTCACAATAACTGTAGTGTTTGGAAATAAAATCGTGTCCAATCAATGCCACTTAGCAGATATTTAATGTTTCACAATAGCAGGCTTTTCCACAGTGGAACTGCTGCCCTTCTCACTAACATTTAAAATAATTAGGATTATCTCAGCTGCCGGAGCTTGGCAGGTTCAGTTTGTACTTTCAAACAGCATTAATTCTTGGCACTCAGAACAAGGGATAAAAGGTAAAGATATGAATGGAGATCTTTATTCCACCTGATCTATCATGGATTAGCTCATTCTTTTCCAGTTCATGCCTGCACTCTAGTTAAGAGGAAGGCTGAGCTGTAACTGATGTAATTAGAAACCACAAGCTGAGAAAAAAATAGCCCTTTATTAATCTCCACCATTTACTATAAATTTACTAAAAAAAGGAATAATCTTTGCAACAATTAAATGTGCTTTCCCCCTAAGGTGAATTAAAACATAGTGACAAGAAAAAGAGGAGCCGAGATGGGTAATGTTTTCCTAAAGGCCAGATCTTAATCGCCAGTTCTAAAATCTAACACCAATTTTTGCGAGGGGCCAGCTCTGCCCTCAGCACATTGAAGTGCAGTGAAGCCATGGTAAGCGAGAGTTCCCCTAGGTGGAATCCGGCGAGTTATTAGGGCTTCCTCCTGATACAGCTATTGCAATTTTTGCAGGCAGTGGAAAATACAGTGTCTTAAAGCCTAGGTAAACTCTGACCAGGAAGCACACATATATGCAACACTAACTGTACCTCTCTCTACATATCACGTTACACGAACATGCATACACAATTCACAAAAAGATGGCCACTTCAAAATTCTCAAATAAACACAGACCTAGCGAATGTCCTCCTGCCCTATGCGGGGAGAGCACTGTCCTAAGAGCCTCACAGCTGGCCCCGTGGGGCTTCCGCTGAAGTAGGGGCTAACACACTCCTTATCAACCTGCAGAGTTCCACTGACACACGGAGGCACAATACTTTTT